AGTCTGAATGAACAATCACAACAGTAATTGACACAGTAAAATTTGATGCAGAAATTAAACAAGCCGGGTGGTACATGGTCCTAAATGGCCTGGTATTGGTGAAGTATGATAACCACTGTAACAGGAATAATGGCAATTTACAAGATGTGATAACAACACTGTGAAAGGTAATATTAAAACCACACTTGACACTTGAGCTCGATATAGAAGAACAGAACATGTAGCAGTTTCATGACTGGGAAAAGAAACGGAGATCGGATTCCTAAGGCAATGGAGACTATACTTGCAGTAACAATTGCGAAGCTTACACACACCATCGTGAAACACGATTTCATACTTTTGTCGCTATTGACTGCTAATTTGACAGACACGCATGAATCATTGTACAGTGCTGCGGAGACTAAAGGCTTTGACAAGTATACTGACACTATATGACACTGCTTTAGGCTTATTCCATATATGGCTGTATGAACCAATGAACACAGCAATTCATGTGAGAGACTGCAACACCCACCACAGCAATGACATTGTTGCCTGTGTAAAAAACCATAACGACAGCCAATTAAACATAGCCACTATCCACCTTGATCCGAAATCTGCGTGCATGGCCTGAGGGATGCTACAGTATCACCTCTATGCCGTGCAAAGCTCTTTCTCTTACTGGGTTTCAGTAGGCCTGCTTCGCCATACCCTGCAGTTTGTCACACTCGCTCACTACTAGTACTATATGTCGGCTTATCGCGACCATGCGCGTGCACTTGCAGCCTTTTCTGTCCGACTTCCTTCGTGCTATCAGCACAAAGACGAAAACCTGGGTACCTGAGGGGGGGGGTAGCATATATATATATATATATGTACCCATCTGTGTAGATGTATACATGTATCTACGTGTACATGTGCTTTTATATATATATATACATATATACATACATGTATATATATATATATATACAGATGTAAGCATGTGTACATGTATACGCATGCGTACACAGAAATGTCCTCATATGTACTCACATATACATATGCATATATGCGCTTCTAGTATATACACATGAGGTGTGCGCACAAAAACTTGCAGTCATACATACATGTGTGTATATACATAGGTATATATATATATACACATATATATAATATATACATACATACACGCACACGTAAATCTAAGGACTCAGGACTCGGGTAGGTTCTGATAGATAGGGAGCTCAAGGCCGTTAAGCTACATAACATATGCAAATTCATACACATACCTATACACACATGTGCAGTCACAGTAACACACTGGACAAGGATGCATGCATGAGCTTGCATACATTACATACACAGATTCTCCATGCACAAGCACATGAATGTGAGTACCTGTTGCAGTGCACAAAAGAACTAGACGTCGCACGCAATTGCATCCCACACAGTCGTGCAGGCATACAAGTTTACATGAATCCCATGCATACACATGTTCTGACAACATGTACATGGACAGACACGGTGTAGCTCTATAGTTCCCGTTGCTGATGCAAGAAACAGAGAGGAGGCAGACACAGATAGAGAGGGACAGAAGTCTACCATCCGGCAGAGCGGAGGATTGTATAGCTTGCATGCACTTCATCAACCTGCCTGTCACCATGAAAACCATCTGCGAAGGGCCGGCAGATGGTGGGATTGGAAAAAAAACAAAGGTTTAGGTTTGATGGCGGAGCGCGACGCGGTCCGAGAACGAACTTGGCGGCGGCCGTATATACGTCGTGAGTGGCGGTGTCCTCAGGGAGCTTTTGCTGCCGCAAGTATGCATGCACTTTCTGCACATGCTTTCTTTGCTGCTCTCTCTTCTTCCGCTGGGCGTAGAGGGCTGTTTAGGCCCTCCGGCCGCATGGGCCCCCCACTTGTTATGGGGACTTTGGGAAGGCGTGAGAAAACCGGTTAGTCCCCCAGTATGCAGAAGTTAGAAAAGTTAGTCTAGAAGAAGGCTGGGTTCGTAACTGGTGTTCTTAAACACATGCAATTCACCGGTAGCTCTGGTCGATGTTCGTATGATTACAAGAATCGAACCCGCTCTCTCTCTCTGTCTCTCTCTTTCTCTGTCTCTGCATAGTCGCTGGCTCGCAACCTGTCTTTGTTACTAACTAAGAGAGCTGCAAGCATGCAACGGCATGCACTCTGCATGTAAAGATGCATGCATGCATGCATGTATGTGTGCACGCATGTATTTATGAACACATGTGTTGAGGTTGTGTAGGCGTAGTTCTTCAAGTATCTTTCTTTCTATCAGCTAACACATTCGTAGCGATATAGGCTCCACATGCCATCTTGCCGCGATATTGCAAACACCTCTGAGTTAAAGACAACCATCCGAGCATCCTGCTGTGAAGAAGACAAGCCGCAGTCGCCCCCAAGAAAGCATCAATACTGCTACTTAACGCTGCCCTTGGCGCAGGTGGCCTGAGTGTTCTTGTACAGCTTGGCCACCCACAGCAGGCTGTCTGTGAGATTGGTCAACGTCGCACGCGTCTGACCCGAGTACAGTAGCTCCTGATCGAGGCTTCATGCATGGCCCCGGCTCAGCCAGTTGAACATAAACTTCAGTGGAGCTTGCGACAAGTGTCAAGTTTGAAAGACTATTGACTGGTGACTTCGACCCGAATCCAACCAGTAGCCTTCAGATGCAGCAACGGGTACAGAGATCATCAGGAATCGGCCCAAGAGGACATGCTCAGATGCTCTCTTTTGCAGGACACTAGATTGCTTTGAAGAGTGGAGTTGGTGAATTCCGTTGTGGGCTGTGTATATAGCACAACAGGGGCCTGAGGCTCTGACGTTGCGTAGCCAGTCGAGTAGATGCAGCTGCAAGGAGTCCATGGCACCTCAGGTTTGAGTTTACCTTTGACCTTGGTCGTCATTGTACTCATCTCTTCGAAGCTCCCTTGGCAAAAAAACCTCCGCCTTTCTCATGTCGAACACGAAGTGAGCATGACAGATCCCGGGAACATATTCTAATTGAATAGCCGTGTAAAAAAAAACACGACCCAAGCATGAGGATGCAAGGCCGCTCGAAAGAAACAACTGTCATGAAAGCAGCACACATTTCAGCCAGGGCGCGGTGTTCCCAAGCTCTGAAGAAGAGGGCTGAGTGGTTGGAAACACTCGAGATGTACGGGCCAGGGAGAATGCGGCCCGTGTGGAACTCTTCCTCGACTTCTGCTTTTTTTCGTGGTGCTGTTGTCTAGAGTATTCTCAGTCTCTTTTGGCGTTTATTCCTCCCTACGGATTTGCTTAGCATAGCTATGAAGTCTCACCAAGGCACGCTGAAAACCAAATGCCGGCCAGCGTACACGAACCTCCGTAAGTCCAGTCTGCGGCTTAGTGGTAAGGTGCCACTGTCGACATGGAAGATCCTGGGACGTTGACATGCCGAAACCAGGGCCCCAAGGGCCGACACTCAAATTCTCCGGTTCGGCCTTCGGATTCAGACTTGCAAAAGGGTGGGTCTACTGCTTTTGCTGCTGCTAATTCTAGTGCTCCTGCTACCACAACGAGCACAACGACCACTACAACCACTACTCTTACTCCTGCTCTTACCTCTGCTCTTACCTCTGCTCCTACTCTTATCGTAAGACTCGTACTACTCTTACTACTCCTAAACCTCCAGCTACTGCTACTCCTCCCCCGCCTACTCCTACCCCTACTCCTACTCCTACTCGCATTCTTTCTTCTACTGCTACTACTACTACTACTACTACTGCTACTACTACTACTACTACTACTACTACTACTACTACTTCTGCTACTCCTGCTGTTTCTACTGCTAGTACTACTTACTACCACTACCACAACCCCCACCACTACAAGTAGCACTACCACTACCGACAAAAATCTCCCTACCACTGCCACTACTACTACTACTACTACTACTACGACGACGACGACGACGACCACAACCACGAAAACGGCCACGGCCACCACGACAACGATAACAACCAACGCCACCACCACTGCTACTAACACCACAACAAAAACTACTTCTACTACCATCACAACTAATGGTAACAGTATTGCACTGCAGAGTGTTGGGAGAATTCTGGCAAGGTTGCCTCAGCTGCATCAAGGCTGCAGCCTAGACTCCATCTTGGCAATTGGCTCAATCCCAATTCCGACAGGGTCTGCCGCTGCCGACCCAAGTCCTGCATTCCCTGCACAGGGGTCACAGCAGATAGATGTGAGACAATCGGAACTCACGCTGTTCTCTCTGAGGCATCGATCCTCCGTTCTGTTGAGAACACCCCTAGCAGCAACAACATCACCTGCGACCACTAACACTACTACGGTTACTACGACTACTGCTATTTCTATTTCTTCTACTATTACTACTACTACTACTACTACTACTACTACTACTACTACTACTACTACTACTACTACTACTACTACTACTGCTACTACTACTACCACTAATACTACTACTCCTCTACTCCTCTACTCCTCTACTCCTCTACTCCTCTACTCCTCTACTCTTCTACTCTTCTACTCTTCTACTCTTCTACTCTTCTACTCTTCTACTCTTCTACTCTTCAACTCTTCAACTCTTCAACTCTTCTACTCTTCTGCTCTTCTACTCTTCTACTCTTCTACTCTTCTACTCTTCTACTCTTCTACTTCTACTACTACTATGTACTACTGCTACCACCACCACTACAACTACAGCTACTACGACGACGACTACTCCTGCCCTCGACGCCCGTCGTTGAGCACCTTCATCATCACAATCACAATCGTCATCATCAGCATCCAGATGATCTGCGCTTGGACCTTCCTCGACATCACCATGTTCAGCTTCATCCTCGTGATGACCACCCTCATCATCACGAAGTGTGGCTTTGCTAATTTTTCGCTGTTATTCCCCGCTCACCAACCTTGGCCCGAAGAACCTGAGGAATCCAAGTCCAATGAGATGTCCGAAAATGCCCTCGAAACACCGGATAACAACAACAGTGTGGGACATTATGGGGCACGGCATGAGCGGCGATGCACCCAAATAAAACACTGCAAATTCCGGTACAATCGCGATGCGCTGCGCACCAACCCACGTCCGGTGGGCAAGACCCAGATCCTGAGCCCTACCACTGCGCTGTTCCCCCACAAAACAATCTGTGCAGGAGAAACTGTTCGGCCTTGCATGCTCTTGGCCCAAAACGTGTTCTACCGTCGACGTGCTGCTGCTGCTGCTGCTGACGCGACTGCTACTTGCTACTTGCTACTGCTACTGCTGCTGCTTCTGCTGCTGCTGCTACTGCTGCTGCTACTACTACTACTACTACTACGACTACGACTACGACTACGACTACGACTACGAACGATTTCGACTACTACTACTACTACTACTACTACTACTACTACTACTACTAGACGATGTTCACTCCATGGCACAGGAAAACTACATAGCACAGTTCTCACATGGACCACAAGAAGGCAGCCTCCAGAATCCGGGCCTGCGCGCAGAATCGCCCAAAGTCCGGATCCTTGCCGAGAATGGCCGAGGCGAGACGTGCTGCACCAAAAAAGGCAAGCCAAAAAAACTTCCTTGAAGGAGTCGCGCTCACTTACATTTTCACAGGGTGCGGCCTTGGCCTCGCATGTCGGCACGTTGAGAGGGTCGATGGCTCGTGCCTTCCAATACGCAGCAGGCTCGGCTCCCGGGACATCGGAACACCCGAACCAATCAGTGCATGCCCGGCTGTGTACCAGAGTACCTGCGAAAACCAAGCCCTAGTGACCCTAGTGTCAGCTACCATGTCACGTGGCACACGTGGATGCAGGGCCACCTTCATCTTCCATGCATCGGCATAGCAGCCCCAAGCTGTTGCATAGGAGGCATGCTTGCCTGTGCAGTGGGTATATTGCGCTTTTCAGCTCAAGGCTTGCAACGAAGCTTTGAAGGAGCCACCCTGCAAGACTACAAAGGGTTCTTGCGTCGCCATAAATATGAGGGAAGCTCATGAAACTGTTGCCTGGGATACGAGCTTCATGAATCCGTCACAGCTTCAACAGTTGAAGCTTTGCTGAAGCCTCCAGATTGGTAGAGCGACGAATCCCCAATTATCAGCAGCAAGATGTCGCTGCGCGCATTGTGTTCCTCCTCGGCTGTGCATATGATGTCCTACACCGACATTCCTCGCATCCAGGTTGCGGGTTGCGTCAGAGGCTTTCAAGGCAAGCGTGCCGATTTTTTGGCTTTGTCATTCCAGCAAGTAGTAACTCGCCTTTCCAAACGATCACCACAACATGGGTTGCCGTAGTGGGAGGAGTAAAACACTAAGTCCAGGAAAGCATCGATGTTCAAGTCCAGGTAGCGGCAGATTGTGCCTTTGTGCAGCTTCGGGAATATGACTGGCAGCATGAAGAACAAGCCAAGCTCCCGATGCGACTGAGAGCTTGCTTCTTGAGGCCGCTTGCTTGTGACCAGGTATCATATACACAAACACACGAAGGACTGAGGAGCTCAGGCTTCAACTAGTGCAGAACGAACACTTTTTCGCAAATGGGTAATCTATTGGGCGATGCTTCGGCGCTGTAGTGCCCACAACCCACAATCAGCTAGAGAAATACATGTAAGCGGCGCTTGGAAAGTGGAGTCCGGCAGCACTTGCAGAAGGGGGATAACTTGCGGATACCAGCCACTTGGTGCCTGATCCCAACTCACAGGATGAGGACACTGCGGTTCGACACGGGCCCGCACCTGAACAGGAAAGCCAACCTTTCGGTGATTTCTGTCTAGCTGCATCTGGCAGCTTGACTTGTCGTCGAAGTGGAGCTTGTGGTTGTGTATGTGGTGTAGGTGTAGGTCGGCATAGGGCTCGAATTCATGGCATGGTTCAGACGAGAGATTTCGGCACAAAACGTTAAATTACGTTGCCGTCGGCGGTTTTCTGCTCTGCATTCCAAAATCGCACGTTTCTGCATTGAGATCGCTGGCTTCAGGACCTGGTGCGAAGAACTCACAGTGGGACATGAGCTGCATGCCTGCTTAATTGTCTTCTCATGAATACCACGCAGCTGGAGATGCACTTGCCAAAAGCTGCGGATGCAGAAATGGTGGGACCACCCGGATCACAAGCGCTGCTCAGTGCACCAACCTGCATGACAAGGCCGTGCATAATACTGTCGGGTGCCGACAGTCTCCTCGTCGGACCAGCCACTGAGACGAGGCGTCCAAGCACCAGCAGGAATGGCCGGCGCAGCTGCTGCTGACTGACCCAGGGCGTGCATACGCATTGCTTTGCTTCATTGCAGCACCCGAAACGCCTCTGACGCTCCTGCAAGCCTTCCAAAATCCAACAAAAACCGTTCCCGTTCGTGCATCCGCTCTCGGAATGTTCGATTGCGCTAGAACTGCACGGTCGATGTCGGGGGCTCAGTAGACAGTTGAACACCCTTCATCAACCTGAACCCGATGGAGGCCTTCTCCATGGCCGACATCTCGACGTACTCGATGGTGACGGGGAAGTCAACCTTGTTACAGCATCTTCGGGTGTTTGTGAGGATTCATGGGCAGACACCATGAACCTGGAGAAAGAAATGGCAGCCATACCGGACAGGCTAAGCACAGACCACCAAGATCAGGGCCGCCTGATGCTTACGAGCTCTCTGCGCCTGACAAGAGGTTGGAAATTCTCTGCAGTGAAGTTGCACTGGATGGAAGGCGACTGTAGGGGTCTATGCTTGCGCCTTCAAATATCCTTGCAATTGACCAGGCATCCGTCATCCGATATCCCGCAGCTGGAAAAAGAACCATATCACCCGAATCCTCTGCCCTGCAGCCCAAAAGCCAACAAAGGCTGCTGAGCCCATGCGGTCCTACGGCAGCCCTTTCCATGAGCCCCATTAACCCAAAGCTCATTCGGAAGGCGGTCCCCGCTCTTGAAGGCCGCGGTGGACTGGACATCCGGATCTGGGATAAAATCCTGCAAGGTTGGATTTTGGAGGGGCGTAGTTTGTCTTCCCTTCGTTTGCGTTTCGCGGACCTTGCCAGCTGCATGGATGCATGATGTTAGCATGTCTGCGCGGCTCATGCGCATGTACCTACAGGCATACATCAAGGCGAATGGTCTTGGATTAAGCGGCGTTGGTCCGCAATGCACGTGTTGCAAAATGTGCTACAGGAATGTGATTGTCTTTGCTGCGGGGAAAGATGAGAATGCCGGATCTCGTTTGCGTCAGCAGATGGGATTTGCTGCCTCAAGGAGGTCCATGATGTCTTCGAAGTCCCAGCCTGTTCATGCGGAGCGCTAGGCTCTACACTTGACATGACCTGAAAGCTTTCCGTACCATCCCATGATCAGCTAGGGGCGCAACGCAACCAAACGGTTCCGAGGAGCTGGCTGCGCACATCTTGGCCATTCACAGTCTTGACGACATAGCCTGAAAGCCAGGAATGGAGCGCAGCAAGACGAGCAGCTAAGGCGTTGAATGCCTGGACCGCAGGCAGGAACCTGAGCAGCAGCAGCAGCAGCAGCAGTGGCAGTAAGTATGCAGAAGAAGGATCATCATGCAAACATATGCAAACACTAGTAGCAGCAGATGCTGGTGGTTGTGGGGTTGGCGGTGGCGGTGGCAGTGGGTGGCGGTGGCGGCGGTGGTGGTAGCTAGGTGCTGTGGCAGCAGTAGCGTAGCAGTAGCGCAGCAGTAGCGCAGCAGTAGCGTAGCAGCAGCGTAGCAGTAGCGTAGCAGTAGCGTAGCAGTAGCAGTAGTAGTAGGAGTACGGGTACAGTGAGGGGTAGTAGGAGTTGGAGTAGAGGTAGGAGGAGTTGTAGTTGTTGTGGTTCTAGATTCCAGAAGCAGCAATGGTAGTCGGTATCTTCGTCGTAGTAGCAGCGGTAGTACTCGCAGCGTGGTAGTCGTAGGTAGTGGTTGGAGTAGAACTTGCAAAGCAAGGAAAAGCCCCATAAAAATTAGCAAGACGAAGAACCCCGAATGCAAAAGAAAAGCTACATCAGCCCGCCACTCGCCTTTCTTCACCCCTGCCACGGCTGCCTGACCCAGCGGGTCGCCTGGATATCGGGCCTTGTCGGCTGGGCACTGGGTGCTGGAGGTTCCTTGTTTGGGGTCTTAGCTTGCGGTTCACCGAAACCGGGGAAGCCGGAAGAGAAGCACCTATCGATACGAACAGGCTCCTTGATTTTCGCTTGGAGCACTGGTTGCAGCGCTTGCTTCTTGCCGCCACCATGTCAAATCATCCAGCAGGTCAACAAACTGCTGGCACTGCCATTTTCTGCGAATTAGCGCTGCTGCCTTCTCGTTCATGTCCATAACCATGGCCTCAGAATGCGCTGAGAGATCAGACACGAATCCAAGCCATCCTGCTGGAACTATTCAAACTTGCATGTGGGGTTCCTTTTACATGGCTTACAGAGTATGAGTAACGCTCTGGTGCTCCAAGCTTTAATCTTGTGCAATTTTAGTATTGGTGGCCGATCTCATGGCAAGTACAATGTTAGAAAGCCCCAGGACAATTTCAGATGGAATTCTGGCACAGCTGTCGTAGCTGCCCCTCCACTGCCTCCCAGTCAAGCTCTGATGCGAGACAACTCTGCATTAACTGCATGTTCCTCTCGGCAAAAAAACATGGGACACTCATAGGATGCATAAGGACCCCTGAAACTGCGAGACGGCTAGAGCCGCATACCTACATACTCCTACAACAGTTCGACCAACCGTTGCTCAGCAAAACTCGTCATCCCACCCTGTCACTGTCACCCTCCTGTGCCCATCTACTAGGCAATTCATTCCATCTATGGGTTCGAGAAGCCGAAGTGCAGCAACGAGCCCTGCACCCCCTTGCCGTCAAGGCCGTGCGTATATCTCTTGATGCCACTGGGCCTTGCGATTGGTTGAAAGCTGCACGGACATGCAGGCGTCACATGCTGTACATAATGAGCTGGCTTGTTGGATGTGTCTTTCTCATGTGTTCGCTTGCGTAATTGGTGTAGTAAAACGTAGTTATGTATACTCTAGAGGAGACCGCAGCACACAACCCTAAACCAGGCTTTCCTGAATCAGTATGTACACATTTTCATACCGAGTAGACTATTGACTCGACTCTAGGCCACGGTGCTCCAGTGCGGTTTGGGTTGTGCGTTCCAATATACGAAGACATACCACACATATTTTACCTACTGCGGCATACTGAACACTGCAAGCCTGTGAGGAAAAAGAGCATCTCCAACATAAGTTACCTGACAATCGTACGTTACCTGACAATCGACCTCATGTAGGATACGTTCACCTACTTTAGCGATCTGGTCTGTACTCTGTTACTGTGTGCGCGCGGAGACTAGATGAAGGCATTGCACCATGCCACACACTCCACCACATAACCATGTCAGAAGTCGAAGTGAGAGAGAGGGTATGGAGGAAAGTGCTCTTGGCAAGTGCTTTCCCCTTTCCCTGAGCAAACTTGGGCGGGGATGCAAACAGTTCTGCATGCACCTTCGTACTATGCGTATCATGATAACTAACATACACATCTGTATGTGTATATATATATAACTGGCAGTATCAATATGTATATATATATATATATGTATGTATAGATATATGTATAGATAGTACGACTGGAAGGTGGGTCTGGAAGTATGTCACTCAATCATGCGTGAATGCACGCATGCGTCTATGCTGAGTGTTCGCATGGAGTGACATACATGTTTATTCATAAAGTGAGTTATAGTGACAAGGCTTCAAATTCCAAACCTGACGAGAGACGACTATAAGTACTGTAACCTTCCGTAACAGCAGAACTGCCGCAGCCCACTCTGTCCTGCCTCTTTTTCAGCTCGACGGTGTGCGTCGCCTTGCAAAACGCTTTGAGAACCCTTCAGGCACGGAACGCTTGAGGACATCTGTCCTAGAGTCATAGAGTTATTCTGCTTCAAAGTATACCTCGGCGTTGATGCACCGCCTGTGTCATTGCTGCACAAACCCTTTCCGAGCACTTTGATGTCCAACATGGCTGCTACTCGCCACAATTTCACAACTGCTAACCTTTTGGACCTTGAGGGCGACGCAGTGATGCCGGCATCATTTGCAGCGTTGAAGTCTGGATCCTCCTTCACCTCAGCAGAATATGCAGTCCGCCAGTATCAACACGTCCGGAACAACAGCTTCCGGCAATTTACCAACACTGGGATCGTCCACATAGACATAGTTGACAACACCATCCGAAGCACTGCTGTCCGAGTTCCCCGGCCCAGCCGTGTCCGTCTGCGCGATCGCGAGGTCGCAGTGGGCGCTGAGGGCAGTGATTCTCACTCTCTCGTGCTACAATGCGTACACGGCATGCACCAAACCTGCTGAGGGACTGGGGAGAGGCTTGCGAAGAAGCGCATGTCTGTCCATGTGCGTTTTAACCTCAACCCCTTAACAGAAAACCTATCAACACCATTGAACAAAAGAGCGCCTCAGCCTGACGAACGACGCGACTGCACCGCACGTCCTTGGCTTTGCGGTGCCTGTCATCGAATTGCAGGAAAGACCGTTGCACCTCCGTTCGAACCATATGGTGCCACTGACTTGTGTGCCAAACGCTTCTGTCGGCCGACACTTAACAATAACCCATCTCAGTTTAGTTTCGGTCTTTGAGTCTACAAAGCAGCCTCGCAGCCGCAACCGCAGCGACGCCCAAGCCAACCGTGACCTTGCCATGCGATGCGCGTTGTTTGCACCATAGTGTTCACATCCCACAAATGGCTGCGAGACTAGGCTATATTGCGAGACTAGGCTATATAGAATCGGCGACCCAATCCGGAAGTCAAGTCGGGAAGCTCAAGGCTCCCTGGAAGTGCAGCCTCCACAAGGCTAATCCTCCTTCGTGTGCGTAGGCTTCCCCTTTTGAGGTACCAAAATCTCTGTCAAGACTTCAAGATCAGAGTCATGCCAGGGCCCCTCGCAGCTGGGGCAGCACTGGGACGGGGAGCCGCGCTAAGGGGCGCGGAGGCCTTGCTCTGTGAAGTGACAGTTGGGCTGACCTTACCCTTGTAACTAAGCCCTGTTAGGCAAACTGTGAACCCGAACCGGAACTGTGTGGGGTTCGAAGGTTCCGAGGTTTGCGGGAGGGAGGCGGGGGTTCGGAGGTTCCCAGAGTCCGAGGCGTGGACCTGGACGGAAAAGGGGGAAGGGGTTCGGGTTCAGGTTAGGGTATTCAGATTTGGAGATGCCGTTTGGCTTGTTTTCTTCGGAGGTTCCGACATGCCTTGGCTTGAAACTGGAGGAGGGGGGAGGGGGAGGTTCAGGTGCTGGTTCAGGTTTAGGTTCAGGTGCGTTTGCCAGGTTCCAAGATTTGGAGATGCGGTTTGAGTTTTTTCATCGGGGGAGGCGGGGGGAGGTTCGGAGGTTCTGAGGTTCTGAGGCTCTGAGGTTCCGAGGTAGGGGGGGGGGGGGATGGCTCCGAGGTTCTGAGGTTCTGAGCACAATTTTCTTTTTCCGGATGGGGGGGGCGGAGGTTCCAGGTTCTGGGGTTCCGAGGCACCACGATTGTTTTGCTGTCGAAGGGGGGTGGAGGTTTCGGTTTGGGTTCGGGTTCGATGAAATTCTGGTAGGATGGAAGTGTGCGGGGGGGTGCCGAGGTTCTGAGGTTAGAGAGCCTGGAATTATTTTTCTGGAAGGAGTAAGCTTGCTCCTCCACCAAGCAGGGATGACTGCCGAGATTGATTTGCGCTGCTTTTGAACGATTGCAGGCACTGGGTGCAAAGTAGTCACGAAATTACCTCATGCTGAATGTGGTCTGGCATAGAACATTGCTACATGTACGTGTCCACCACGCAGCATCACCAAGAAAGCGCATCGTGCAAAGCTGCATGCTGACCTGCCAAACCCTGAGTGAAGACTACCAGCCCGTCTGCCGAATCGAACTTCTTCACGTCCGGAGACTGCACGTGACCGGCCACCTCGGCCGCTGCCGGCACGGTTTGGCGCGGTGCCGGCTCAGCTGGCAGCAGGAAGCCGGGAGCCAGTGCCGCCTTCGACGTGCGGTGCTTCCCGCTCGAGTTCGGGGCCACGGGTTTGGTCAAAAAATCGAGTCATCTAGTCTGAAGACTCTCGATCACCACCTCAGCATGATCGAAGAGCTTCGTGCTGCACAGCTCCAACTTTTGGCGATGCTCTGGCATACGGCCCATGAGTCCGTGCTTTTGTTTCGGGAGCCTTGGTGGCTACTGCGGCCTTTTCCTATCAAAAGACCAGAATCAGAAGTGGATGCAGGAGCTCGATGCAATGTAACCCGGCACCAATAATACCTACACTGCCGACCCGCGTCTGGTCTCGAAGGCCACGGAGAAGGGGATTCTTCAGCTCACGCGCTGTTCGAAGCGATTGCAGCACTGTTCACACAAGCAGCACCTTGGGGGACTCAAAAGGGAAGACGTGTGCCGGGCCCCGGACAGCTGCTCCCAGACCCAGCACGGCACCTAAGCTGTCTGAGAGGTCATTAAAACGGACCCCCCAAGTACTCCTCAAGCCTGGAACCGCCTGAACACAAGAAACGACAAAGATGCACACCTACTTGCACGAGCTGGATCAATCGTCCGCCGCTTCTAAAATTTAAAAGGCGATCGCACAGATGCAAGGAAGGCTTCGGCAGAAGGGGTTTTCTTCCCCAAGCAGTGTGGTGCGCAGTGTGTGTTGAAAAATCTGCGGAGCCGAAAGAATCGGTCCGCGCCTGCCCGCCGAAACGTTCCGCGGAGCTCGGCTCCCACTGTGGTGCGGTGCATACGTTGGGCTCATGGGAAGAAGAATTTTCTGGGTGTGGTGGTCCTGGTGGTGTCCTTGTGGTCTTCCAGTGTTCGGTTATGTTCGGTTTCTGGTCTCCCAGTGGTTTGTGGGTGGTCTCCTTGGTCGCATGATTACGGGTCGTCCGGGTCGTCGTGGTCTCCATCGTCGTTGTGGCCGTCGTGGTGCTCGATCACTGTTTGGGGATCCACGCTGGCAGACTCACGCGATGCTGAGTGCTGCTGCTCGCGGAGCTGAGGGCTTGGCTCGTCCTGCCTGCTCGCGCCATACTTGGCTGGTGAGGGAAGGCCGCCAATACTTAAACACTGGAGTTTAAGCCGGCGGGATGGTGCAGCGCACTGACTTGCCACTGGCGACACGGCGTCACTTCTGAAACTCCTTGACTTCACACCACAAGCCAGAAATTCCCTGGCGATGCCTTTTTCTGACTCGTTGGTTGCGACGCTGCAACATCTCACTAGCTGCTTGTCAGACTGGGATGGAAAAGAGACCTTGGGCCTCAATTCCAGAGCATCGACTCTAGAGGACAGGGTGCCAAACTACGACTAAGATTTCATACGTACCCTCCGCATGGGATTGAGAATTCACAATGCTTTGAGACACCGAGGGTCCTTACACCAAACTTTGAGGCTTCAGGTTACCAAGATGGGCCTCTGCCTTCTCTGCTGCCTGGTGCCATCTTCGAGCGGCAGAAGCTCATCTGGATAGCAAGCCTCCGTGGAGGGTCCGCTTTTTGCGTCGATCCGCAAGCGGACCCGGATATTTACTGCAAAGCCTGAAAGAGGGTTGCAAAGCAAGCGCTACCCGCACCTTGCACCTTGCAACAAGCCCCTTGACAATAAGAGTTGCTCCCGGTGAGGCCGGCGCTTGCCGCAACCCACCGGCATGTACTGCCACTCCGCGCATCGACCCGTTAGGCGGGGGCGGACATGTATGTCGGACACCGTGCGCGAGTTTTTGTCAGGCGCACTTGTGGCACACGCACACGAACACATACGTACTCGTGGTACACGGGGCGCACACGACGGTATGGCCTTTCCTACTGTACCTGTTGCAGCTGGCAGAGCGCGAGAGTGAGTCTGATCAAGTTGCAGTGGGACACAGTGCCAAGGCCTTCCTTCACAATCTCACCATATCTCACCATCTTCTCATGGGCCTGCGATGCCTGCGACGCGAGAGGGCAGATGTACGGCTGCAAGGCTAGTATCTAGATTACGCCTGGACATATCACCCGAAGCCCGATGTCCCTACCAGCCCTAAGAAGGCACTCAGGTGTAGCCCTCGATGCCTTGGCTTGTCAGCTCGATGTGCCAAGTGGGCTCCGGATGCAGGTGGTCCTTACCTCCCAGGCTTGGAGTGTGCTCTTTGCTGCTTCTGGGAGGTCTTGAGAAGCTACTGCAGCGCTGCTGAGGATCCATCGGAAGAAGAGCATACCGAAAAAACGACAGTATGAAGAAGAGACTATAGCACACAAGAGAATACAGCCCACATAATATAGAATGTGAGCAAGGATAGTGCAGCCCAAAAAGCGATAGCGTGCGAAGCCCCGACCCGAGATTCTCTTGCGATCCACAAGCGGAAAGCATTGAAGCTCCGTCTTTGACGGCCAAGGACTCGCGCCCGGGCAGCCCGGTGAGCCGCACACTTGGCATGCGGTCCCAGGAGATCCCCTGCGGGCGACAGAAAAGTCGCTGATGACCAAACGTCAGCAGCTAGACAAGTGTATTCGATCGGTAGTTCAAAGATTCAAGGTTCAGACTTCGGACCGACCCATTCGCAAGGGCTCCGGAGGGCCGCCGGAGGGTCTGCTGGCACTGGAGGCACAGGCAGCTCTTTAGCTTCGCCCGCAGGGGAAGGCACCGAGATGCTAGGAGGTGCCTGTGGCTGCACTTTCTGGTGCCTTGAGCAGGCGTGCATGCAGCACATGCCCACAATGAAGAAGAAGATGCAGGCAGCGACAGCACCGAAAACCAGCTCCAGACCCACGCCCGAAGGAGGACTGGGCTCCGAAGCGTGCTCCGAAGTCTCTGAAGAGGTCGAGGGGAGAGTGACTTCTGCCTCAAGGTTCTGAATGGACATGATCTGGTACTGGGAAGCGTTGGGAAGCTCCTCGAGCGCATGGTTCATCCGCTCCACGAGGTCCGACGCAAAGCCTGGGAGCCCATGCGAGATGCCCAGAGGCGCCGAGAGGGGCATCACTTATCCGGAAAGAAGGGGAGGGGAGGGAGTGGGCTCAGGGCAGGGCTTTGAACCTAAAACCCTAAATCGGTCTGCCGAAAAGCCAGGCTCTTCGAGTTGGACGCTCACCTGTGCCTCCAGCTCTTCCAACTCTGCTGACGAGGCCGAGGGCGCATGGAAGCGAACGGCAACCAGTCCAGCAAGACGACGAGTGCCTGGAGAAGCACTGGGCAGATTCGTGGGAACTGTTAAAACAGTGGTGAGAGGGGCGGGCGGGAGCAAAACAAAGCCTCACTCACGAAGAGTTGACCCGCCTGGGTCAGCTGGGCGGTCCAAGATCGCCAGGTGCACCTCGAGTTCCTGGCCCCACAGGACACCCAAGGCCTGCATCAGCGACCACCGGACCTGGCAGCTTACGAGCTCTTAATGAATGAACATCCTACAACCGCTGGCAATTGTCACAAGCTCAGAACTTTGTAAAAAGAACAACCGCAAAACCCATCCCTGAAGACCGAATCCATGTACTGACCTTCAAGTCACTTTTTGCGAATTGAAGGAAAAACTGCGGGGTTTGGGGCCCCCTGCCTGAGGTGCCTCCACGAAGGCCTGAGGATCCGCCACGGTGAGCTCGAAGGAGCCCGAGAATCCCGCGAGGCTGGAAGAGCTGGTCGAGGAGGGCCCGGAGCTCGTGGAACTCGTGGAGCTCGGCACCTTCACGGGCTGCTTGTTCCTGATTTTTCTGACTTCGGAAGCACTTGACACTCGGAGGGGGGCGGGCCTTCACCACGATGGGCAAGCTTTCGAAGAGCCTCTGGGGCACCTTCAGCCGCCTCTCCCTCAGCCGGCGGCCGGCGATGGAGTCGATGGTCGCCAAGACGTGCAGGAAGCAGGCATCGCAGACCTGGCACTGATCACCGCGGGTGATCACCATGGTCTGTTTAATCCTGGCGCATGTCCCCTTGCCTCCAGCTGCACACTGAAGCGCCGGCTCGACGGCGAAGCCGGAAGGTAGATCATGGAATCCGTGAGGTTGTGGACCTTAGAAGCGGAACAAGTTTCCTCAGAAGTTCGCGTGCGTCGCTCCTGTCCGCAAAAATCCCAAGCTGCTGTGAGGTCTGAGGTGGTGACCATCGGCGCTGAGGCATCGCTGGATGCCGCGAGCCACACCAGGTCCACGTTCGCCACCACAGACACTGACCTCAGCTCAAGCTCCACGAAGGCCCGCTCCCAGACGAAGTAGACGGCCTGCTGCTTCGTGGCACTGAAATCGGACTCGTACAGGGTCAGCGTAGTGTTCAGGGCTCCGGCGTGGATCACCTCCTCCTCCGCCACGACCTCCCGGCGGCCCGCCGCTTCGAGGGAGGAGAAGGCGTGTATGAGGCGGTCGAAGCGGAAGGTCACCGGGAAGATCCACAACGCGACCGGCTTGTCATAGAAGTCCCCCAGAAGGGCCAGCGTTGCGACTCCACTCCAAGTCACGTAGTCTGCCGTGGTCGAAACGTTCAACTTGCAGTCGTCGAGGTCGGTGACGCTCAGCTCCAGGACGAATCGACCTTGCCCGGTCTGGTTCCACGCCTTGCAATCCGTTTGACCCTCGTCCGAACCAAGACGAGCACGAAAGCCCGGCGAGATGTTCTCCGCCACAGTCGGAAGATCAGCCTCGAAGCTCAGTCGAAGCATGGAGTTCTCCTGAAGGGAAGTCTGGAAGCTGGGGCTCGGAAGCAGTGGCAGAGCGTGGGCCAGGCTTGGGAGGCAGCCGACGGCCACGGACTTGTAACCGCTTGGGCAAGCCTGGAGGGTCGCCGGGATGGCCCACTCTGCGAGCGTCTCAAATTCGGATCCCAGCAGGTACACGCCCAGGAATGCATCTCGCACCAGGACGTTGGGATCTCGCGGCGCCGGCGTGGTTGTCGTGTGCGTGGCATTCTTGACATAGGCTTGCGCAGCCAACGCAAGATATGACCAGCTGCCGCAGTCCTCGGCGGTGAAGTTGAAGCTTGTACATGTACATGTGTAAGGGAGAGCCTCCATGGAGAAGAACTGGCAGTCCGGCTCAGAGGAGCACCTGGCAGCGCACTCCTCGAGGTCGCACGGCTGCTCCTGACGATCCATCCACCCACCAGGAAAAGTCTCACAGTGTGTGAAAGGCCCCAGCGGCTCGTAGCCGGGCAGAATCTTGGCCTTCTTAGCATACCAGCGGTTACCCCACGAACCACACACCATCGCCGGAGGCCAATATTCACATGCGGAGGGCCAGTATAGGTCACACGACCCAAAGTCAAATACAAAGTTCTGGCAGTCGGGCTCTGACGAGCATTTGGCTGCGCATGCCTCAAGATCCACAACGTCGTGGTACGATCTCCAATGATACGAAGTGAGGCAGCAGTCATTGTCAATCAGGTCGTAGTCCGCGAGGACGCCGCTGACATCGGTGGCGTTCGTGGAATTCCTCGTGGAATTGAAACAGGCCAGCAGCTCCGGGAAAGGCGCAAAGGCCTGGTAGGTCGAGGTGGAAAGATTTGAGCTTTCGGACTCGGGCTGCAAAGTCTCCCAGCTAAGGCACTGTGGGCCAAACACCTGGAGCTCCTCCTTGGAGGCACTGAGTTGCAAGCTCCAGGTCAGGTTCCCTTCGGCCAAAGGGACCTGGGGGACCTGAAGCTTCAGGTGGACCTCTTCATCCCAGAAGGAGATTTCGAGGCTCGGGGTGGAGAGGTTGGCCAAGACAGACTCCATCGAAGGCTCTGCCGAAGCTTGGCAAAGGTCACAGCCCCCAAAGCTCTCAAAGCCATCGGGGCACTGCAGGCAGTGACCGGCCTGCCAGGCATAGCCCGGAGGGCACCCGGTTGGCCAGTTCAGCTTGTGGGTGCTGCTGCCGATGGTCACAATCAGCCCCACGCCACAGAGGACCGCCGCCTGGGAGTGCGACCCAGCGCCGGGCTTCGACCCAGCGGGCTCCAAGTTCTGCCAGACTCCCGTGTTCCCATTGATGGCCATGTGCCAAACGTCGTTGTAAGCCGTCTGCTTCAGCGCATGGCCGATTTGGTCGTTGAAGCCCCCGTAGATCAGCATGCCACCCGGGACCGCCACGGCGGAAGGGAAGGTCCTGACGCCGGGCGTCGGGCCAGAGACCACCACAAGCTGCCAGACTCCAGTTGTTCCATTGATCGTCAACCGCCAAACGTCATCAAAGAATTCGCCCCAGTCCTGGCGCGTCACTGCAGCGCTCACCAAACCCAAGAGTCCTGCTTAGATTATTGAGACTGTTCTGTTTATCCAAGTGGCCTCGTGGCCTGCGAAGGTCAGGAAGCTGCCATCAGCCCCCTCGAGTCCCGCAGGCCCCAAACGTGGCCCCGGACCCCCGCCGGTCGTGTGGACCTCCTGCCAAAAGCCCTCATCCTCCGAAGTAAAGATCAACTTCCAGACATCCCCCAGCGGCTGACTGCTGAAGGTGAAGCCCGCATAGATCAGGAGGCTGCCGTCAGAGAGCCTCACGGCAGTGTGGCGGTAGCGGTTGGTGGGGCTTGGGCCCGTGAGGGCCACTTGCGCCCAAATCATTGAAGCGTTGAGCCGGAAGACGCTTGCATCGTTGCTGCCCCCGAAGTAGATGAGCTCTCCATCCGTCCGGCTTCCTGCCATGTAGGACCTGGAGCCACTGGGACCGCTGCCCGTGGCTGCGATGCTCTGCCAGGCTCCGGCCTCGAGGTCCAAGCGCCAGAGCTGGCTTTGTCCGCCGTAGATCACCATCTGCCGCTCCAAGGTGGCTGCAGCGACTTGGCTCGTGGAGCCGTGGCCCGAAGCCACCAGCTCCCAGGTCAGATTGCTGGCGAAGGCCTCACCTACAAGGCCGGCGAGGAGCAGCATGCATGGCATGCTGCGTAGCATGCTCAGGATGATTCGTTCTCGAGACTCTAGCAGGTCCTGAACCTTAAACTTCAAATCTTGCGGACCAGTTGGACAATCATCTAGACTCCAAACTTACGACGGCGCACTTCCATCCAGATCAATGAGTGTCCAGCAGGCTCCACGACTTGGAAGGCGAGGTAGAAAGAATCGCGCACGAAGGGAGCATAATCTGAAAACAGTAACAACCAGCTCTTCCGCCGGTCGAATGCATCCAGTCCAAACACACCGAGTCTAATCGAACTTCCTCGTGTCCGGAGACTGCCCGTGACCGGCCGCACCTCGGCCGCTGCCGTCACGGTTTGGCGCGGTGCCGGCTCAGCTGGCAGCAGGAAGTGCCGCCTCTCTCGATCACCGCCTCAGCACAGCTCCAACTTTTAGCGATGCACTGGGATACAACGGTCCATGAGTGCGTGCTCTTGTTTCGGGAGCCTTGGTGGGTACTGCGGCCTTTTCCGATCAAAGGATGCGAAGTGAATGCCGGAACCAACACTGTGGACCCCGCCAAGGGAAAGGGGGTTCTTCAGCTCACGCGCTGTTCGAGGCGATTGCAGCACTGTTCACACAAGCAGCACCTTGGGGGACTCAAAAGGGAAGACGTGTGCCGGGCCCCGGACAGCTGCTCCCAGACCCAGCACGGCACCTAAGCTGTCTGAGAGGTCATTAAAACGGACCCCCCAAGTACTCCTCAAGCCTGGAACCGCCTGAACACAAGAAACGACAAAGATGCACACCTACTTGCACGAGCTGGATCAATCGTCCGCCGCTTCTAAAATTTAAAAGGCGATCGCACAGATGCAAGGAAGGCTTCGGCAGAAGCGGTTTTCTTCCCCAAGCAGTGTGGTGCGCAGTGTGGGTTGAAAAATCTGCGGAGCCGAAAGAATCGGTCCGCGCTTGCCCGCCGAAACGTTCCGCGGAGCTCGGCTCCCACTGTGGTGCGGTGCATACGTTGGGCTCATGGGAAGAAGAATTTTCTGGGTGTGGTGGTCCTGGTGGTGTCCTTGTGGTCTTCCAGTGTTCGGTTATGTTCGGTTTCTGGTCTCCCAGTGGTTTGTGGGTGGTCTCCTTGGTCGCATGATTACGGGTCGTCCGGGTCGTCGTGGTCTCCATCGTCGTTGTGCACTGTTTGGTGATCCACGCTGGCATACTCACGCGATGCTGAGTGCTGCTGCTCGCGGAGCTGAGGGCTTGGCTCGTCCTGCCTGCTCGCGCCATACTTGGCTGGTGAGGGAAGGCCGCCAATACTTAAACACTGGAGTTTAAGCCGGCGGGATGGTGCAGCGCACTGACTTGCCACTGGCGACACGGCGTCACTTCTGAAACTCCTTGACTTCACACCACAAGCCAGAAATTCCCTGGCGATGCCTTTTTCTGACCCGTTGGTTGCGACGCTGCAACATCTCACTAGCTGCTTGTCAGACTGGGATGGAAAAGAGACCTTGGGCCTCAATTCCAGAGCATCGACTCTAGAGGACAGGGTGCCAAACTACGACTAAGATTTCATACGTACCCTCCGCATGGGATTGAGAATTCACAATGCTTTGAGACACCGAGGGTCCTTACACCAAACTTTGAGGCTTCAGGTTACCAAGATGGGCCTCTGCCTTCTCTGCTGCCTGGTGCCATCTTCGAGCGGCAGAAGCTCATCTGGATAGCAAGCCTCCGTGGAGGGTCCGCTTTTTGCGTCGATCCGCAAGCGGACCCGGATATTTACTGCAAAGCCTGAAAGAGGGTTGCAAAGCAAGCGCTACCCGCACCTTGCACCTTGCAACAAGCCCCTTGACAATAAGAGTTGCTCCCGGTGAGGCCGGCGCTTGCCGCAACCCACCGGCATGTACTGCCACTCCGCGCATCGACCCGTTAGGCGGGGGCGGACATGTATGTCGGACACCGTGCGCGAGTTTTTGTCAGGCGCACTTGTGGCACACGCACACAAACACATACTCGTGGTACACGGGGCGCACATCACCGCATGGCCATTCGTATTGAACATATTGCAGCTGGCAGTCTACATTGTCCATGGCACTGCGCATGCGAGTCATGCACTACAGCCCCTTTTTGAGGTCTTTCAAAGTTGCAAAAGAATACTAAATAAACGTAATAGACAATCACGAGGTCAAGATGCATAAGCAGAGGGGATTTCATAATGAACACCGTCACGAACTTCCTTCGTAGTCTCGCAATCCAACGTGCTGCGACTGGTCGGGTCTGTGAATTTATGGCAGCTCTCCACTTTGTGGAGGCCTATCCGATGCGATGCAAGACCTTGGCCGAGCGAATTTCTGGCCGCACCGAGCAAACCTGTCCAGTCTTGGAACTGAGACTTGCGGTTTGTACTAGAAGGGTGCTAAGACAAGAAGGCTTCAAGCGACACACACGGACACAACAAGCACACAGACATGCGCAAACACAGACAAAAAGGCAATGCATTCGATACCCAATGTCTTGCCATTCTCGTAGGGCCGTTTGCCAGTGGAGCCACACTCTTCGTGGGAAGTGAAACCTAGAAAATTGAAAAGCAAATGCGCAAAGCTAATGTCGACTACATTGGCATGTCTCCCAAAAGTGCCATCAGGCCGTCAGTGCTCATGTAGCGGTCTGCATGTATTCGCACGTCTCTGAAGGTACCTCTATGTCCGAAGGTCTGTCTGTCCGTCTGTCTGTCGGTCTGCTGTCTGTATGTAGTGCAAATGTATGTATGTATGTATCTATGTATGTATGCATGCATGTATGTATGTATGTATGTATGTATGTACATATGTATGGATGTATATACGTATGTATGGATGCATGTGTGTATGTGTATGTGCATGTGCATGTGCATGTGTATGTGTATGCTTCTGTATGTGCATATATGCAGTTGTATATGCTGTTATGTATATACATGCATATGTATGTATACATACATGTGCATATGTATGTATGTATGTATGAACATATGTCGACATATGTACTGATGCATGTAACTAGTATGTGCGTGTGTAACAAGGTATGTGTGTATGCATGTATGTATGCATGTATGTATGTATGCAGGTATGTATGCACGTATGTACGTATATACGTGTCTACGTGTGTACGTACCTATGTCTGTGTATGCATCGTGAATGTAATGTCATGGTATGTAGTTCAAATTGTCTTATAATGTCATCTGATGTGATTTGATGCCATTTAGTGTGCTTTAATATGGTTGAGAGCAATGTAAGGTAATGTAAAGCACGTCATGTTATGTAATGTCATGTTATGTTTTATGCATGCATGTACGCACGCAGGTATGTACGTGTGTGTGATGGTGCCTACAGAAAACAAATCAGGACATGCAAGCGTTTATATATGAACACACAGCCAGGAGTGTTTATACATCTGTAGAACCGTCCTGTATCTGCGCGTATACATACCTGGATGACCTGCAAAACTAAAGGTAGTGAGCAAGGAGTGGTAGACGGATAGACAGATGGGTACATGGGTGGGTGTCCATCTATCTCAAGTAAGCGGTATGTGATATAAAGATGCGATATGAAGTCGAACTGCTATACTCACAATGAACGCATAGACATGTGTCCATCTGTCCATGCACACATGTCGGGACGCATTCGTAAATGCATCATGCGCTGATGGTCCGTTTGGCATCTACGAGCCTACGTTTGGCACAGATTTGGGAAGTGCCCGATCTGTCATTCTGCTGCGGCTCACATCTCCGTCAATCTGCGGGTGAGCAACCGAACCTGCAAGGAACCACCTAACTTCACCATGAAGTCCACGAACTATGCGAGGTCTCAGCAATCTCGCGACAAGATTGTGATACTCTGGACAGCATTCGGTGTCAACACACTCTTCTTGGTGTATAGACAGATAGATAGATAGATAGGTAAATAGACAAGTAATTAGAGAGACATGTGTATATGTATAATGTATACACACACACATGTATTTCCTATATAGTGCCTATCTGGTTCATGGGTGTAAACGAGTGGATTCTGGATGTACGCATCCGCACACGCTGTACATTGACATAGCTGTCTCACATTCACACAGACCAACAGGCAGAACATGGGCAGACCGACAGGGAGACAGGGCAAGCACGGACAGACAAACGAAGATGGCCGAAAAACGGACAGAACGACAGACAAACTAAAGACACAGAGATAGACAAACAGAGGCAGACAGACAGACAAAGCCGAATAGACAGATACCAGTCGACAGATGACACGCATGCCAGACTGGAAGCAGCCTTAGACTTGCTAACGTGCACCTTGCTTTTCTATCCATCCGAGGCATGTCAGGCTGCTCCCAACCGAGTGGGAGACAGACCCACATTGTCTACGCTGTGAACAAACCGCGCCTGCACCAGAACTCCTCCCGAGCATCAATTCTTCTCTGTGGGTTACAAGACTTCTGAGAAGACCCGGATGTAGGCAGGCCTTACCCTCGTGGCACCGTCGTTGCGTGCTCTTCGCCGATGTCGTAGCCACCGCTGGAGAGCCCCCTGGTAGCAGCTTCAACTTCCGGTTGCTTAAGTTTAAGCAAAGAGCTACAGGACTCTACAGCGCCTAGCGATGATCCTTGTCGCCATCGGTATTCTGCAAGCTAAAGCATTCCTCCTACTCTGACAGCCATTTCTGCATCAGTCTATCTGTCGTCTTCGGACAAAGGGGTCCTTGGAGGAAGCGCCAGGTCTCTGACGCATCAGGCAAAGCGGAGCAAAATGATACATTGACTGTGCAACAGCTCTAGTTCATCTGATACTCTAGACATCCAGAAACGCTGCTGCCGCCGCTGGCCTTAGGAGTGCTGAAAGTGAGAGCACCAAGCAACCTTCTACAGAAGTTTGCTGTCATGGATCCTTGCAGCTGCGTAAATAACTACAATCACCATCAGCAGAATCACCATCATTATCGTCATCTTCCTATTCATCATCATCCGTCGTCGCCCTTGTCGTGTTGTTCACTCCCGTCATGGTCTAC